TCTCTCTCTCTCTCTCTCTCTCTCTCTCTCTCTCTCTCTCTCTCTCTGTGTGTGTGTGTGTGTGTGTGTGTGTGTATGTGTGTGTGTGTGTCTATAGGGGTGCCCTTGTGCCAGGGCGCCCATGTGGAGGTTAGAGGAAAATTTGGGAGTCAGTTCTCTCTTTCTACTGTGTGGATCCCAAGGAACTGAACTCAGGTTGTTTGGCTAGGTTGCGAGAGCCATCTCACTGGCCCCTAGGTTGCTTCTAATTACAGCGGGCCAGTGCAGGGGCTTACCAATCTGACAGGCCAGCTCTCCAAGCCCAACAGACTTACAGTGTGCACACATCCCTTGTTGTGAGTCTGCAGGGGCCGGTGTTCTGTTCTCTACCTACGCACAGTCTTTAAGTGAATTCACTGAGTTTACGAGGCACCGGCTGCTGGTGGAAGAGCCAACTGAAGTGCTAAGACAAAGCCGCAGAGGGCCAAGAAGGAATCACCACACCGGGAAGCCTTCACTGCTGAAGGCAGGCCCTGGAAGACAGGCACTATATGGGCAGACGAGGAGGGTACTTCATATGCTGGCAGCACCGTGAGCTAAGGGCTGGAAGCAGGAATCACTACAGAGCGAGCAAAGGCCAGCAGAGGCAACAGCTGCAGCAGCTAAGGCTGGAGGGAGGCCCTGGGAATCATCCTGAGTCGCCCTGGTCTCCACAGGGCGCAGCTTCTGAAGCTGAACAAAACTCCTGCACCTCTTGAAGGCCTTCCCACACACCTTGCACTCATAAGGTTTCTCCCCCGTGTGCTCTCTGATGCTGGAGGGATGCCACTTGTGAGAGAAGGCCTTGCCACAATGTGGACACTGGTAAGGTTTCTCCCCCGAGTGAATCCACTGTGACCTGCAGCCAAAGGCTTTGTGGCCCTCCTAACACCGGAAGGGCCTCTCCCGCGTGTGCAGCCTGAGATGCTGGAAGGACAGACAAGCTCTTCCCGAAGGCCCTGCTGCACTCCCGGCAGACACAGGGCTTCTCTCTGCTGTGGACCATCTGGGGCTGGGTTAAGACCATGTTGGAACTCAGACACTTCCCACACCGCTTGCACTCATGGGCCCCTCTCCAAGGTGACTCTTCTCATGGATGATACACTCGTAGCTGAACTTGAACACTTTGCCGCACTCTTTACATTTGAAGGGCTTTTCCCCAGTGTGACGCCACTGGTGATGAAACAGCGTGGTGTTGAATCTGAAGATTTTCCCGGTCTTTACATTCACAGAACTTCACGCCTCCTGGAACGATCAGGTTTGGACTGAAGCCGAACATCTGCCTCACCGTCAAAGCGCTGAGCACTTTCTGTGTGCCTCTTCCCTAGGCACGCTGCAGGCTGCTCTCTCTCCAGAGGCTTCCTGGTGCAAAGACTACTCTTCGCCCTTGGTCCAGGATTTGGCATCTAACCAATTCAAGCATAAAAACAGCAGTCCCTAGCTAGTGCCCAGGAAGAAAGCAGGGTGCAATTCAAGGGCTGCCAGAATGGCAGTCCTGAGCACAACAGTGGTGGTGCTTGCCTTTAAGCCTTTAATCTCTGCGCTCCAGAGGCAGAGGCAGGCGGGATCTCTGTGAGTTCAAGGCCAGTCTACAGAGTGTGTTTCAGGACCAGCACCATAGGTACTGAGAAACTGTGACTCAAAAAACAAAACAAACAAACAAACAAACAAACAAACAACAAAAAGGAACGGTAGTTCTTAGCTGGTGTCCATGAGGAAAACAAGGTATAGTAAATAATCTCCCCAGCGGTGTGGTTTTGAGAGACACCTTTGATACGGCTACGAAATCTGACAAAAGAGAATGAGAGGGGCTGAGAGATGGCTCAGTGGTTAAAAGCACCCATGGTTCCTCCAAAGGACCTAAGTTCAGTCCCCAGTACCCACATCAGGAAGCTCATAACTGCCTATAACTACAGCTCTGGAGATCTGGACTCTGCCATTACCCCAATATAGGGCATGTACTTAAAACACACACACACACACAGAGAATAAAATGAAAATAAATTTTTAAAAATTAAGAGGGGGGGATGAGAGGCTAGGTGGGTAGTCCTACACAATGGAGAAAACACTAGAAGCAACCAGGATGGCATGGCCCAGGACGGGATGACCCAGGACGGGATGACCCAGGACGGGATGGGATGTGGGAATTGTTACCCCGAGTTATATTTCCCTGTCCCCATTTGAGGTGCTTATCTGCAAAGAATCTTAACTTTCCTCTGCTCCTGGAGTTGGATGAGGAAGTTTGAGTGTATGTGATTATTCCTTGATCCCTGCTGGGGTCAGGTGACAGTCCCTACTGGGGACAGGTAAAGGTGGAGTGCACGTGATCAGTCAGTCCTTGACCCCTACCAGGGTCAGGTGAAAGTTCCTCCTTGGGTCAGGTGACAGTCCCTTCGCAGCCCCCTCCCCATTTGGTGCCATGGTATAAAAGCTAGCCCCAGCAGAACAATAAACAAGCTGCTGTTTCACCTAAACCTCGTGCTCTGTGGATTTCATTCAACCTGGACACCCTCCGCCGAGACTCGTGGTTCCAGACTGTGCTGGCGCGGTAATGGGATGGCCAGGACGGGATGGCCCAGGATGACCCCAACGGAAGGAAAGTGAGCTATGGCAGGGAAAATGGGAAGGAAAGCAGGCAACGAGGGCAGGGGAGGAAGGGGGACCGAGAAGGTAGCACAGAAACCACCTGCACAGACAGAGCTGGTCGGAGACCACGGCTCAGAAGAGCAGAAAGAAATAAAGGAATGGGAAAAGCAGAGGGAGAGGTGGGTCATCGCTCCACGAGGCCTCAGGCGCAGAACTACAACTCCCAGCACTGATGGAACAAACACTCTCCCTACTATAAAGGGAAAATGTCCCGAATTCTATGCGATGCCAAATAATCTTGTTTTCAATATCCTACATACTGCCTTGGGAGAAAAGCAATTTCTTTTGGCAAGGCAACCCATCAGAAGTTGGCCAGACAGCCATGAGCCTCTGTGGAGTCCCTGAAAAAGAAGCCAAGGAGCTCAAAATCTCAGTCTTCCAGCAGGAAAATCTAGGCTGGGAGCAATTGAGGGGAGATGGCAAGTGAGCAGGCTGTGTGGCTGGATACAGTAGGAGGGACGTCCCCAGGCTGTCCTCTACTGTCCTGTCTGTTAGGGTGGGGGGACATCCCAGCCTGTCCTCTACTGTCCTGGACATCCCCAGCCTGTCCTCTACTGTCCTGGATGTCCCCAGCCTGTCCTCTACTGTCCCGTCTCTGACAAAGACGACATAGTTCTAAAGAGGGCAGCAAGTGGAAATTTTAAGACGAAGCCACTCTTTCCACTGACGACTTAAATGTGAAACCCTTACCTGTGACAAAAATCAGTTTGGCTCACCAAGTGGCACCTTCCTTAACACTGCTGGAATCCACGTCTTTGCCATGCTTGACGAAGGCACAGGTTAAGTGGGGGGTGAAAACAAAACTGATTTGGGGCTCCCAGGCTGCCTGTGGACTCTGCACCGGGGAAAGACTATGGGGATGGCACACAGCTGGGACTACTCCTCCACACTCAGGGCAGACCTGGGGCTGCTAGGCACTTCCCTCCTTGGAGCAAACAGAGACTTTTTTATAGAACATCTAGGACTTACCAGGACTGCCGACGCTCAGATATTCTGAGGCCCAAGGCGCTTCTCCTCCCTCCAGCTGGGAGACGAGAACAGGTTTGAGGTAGACATTCAACTACAGAAGAAAATGAGAAAAGACAGGTAGGCCAGACTGCCAAGGGGTTCCTGAGACCTCTGTCAACCCACGTTCCTTCAGGCTTGATCCAGATGGCAGAGCAGCACAGAGGGGTCTAACCTGGGCTCTATAATACAGTATGACTTGTCTCAGGAAGGAACAAAGACCTGGGCCTGGGCCTGAAGAGAGAAAGCTCCCTCAGGAAGGGTGTTGGTTTTGCTTCCCTGGGAGAGCCCTTCCACAATGGGGGACAGCAATTCTCTACCCCAGGTGGAAGGCTAGACAGGAAACTCTTTGGGATGCCAAGAAGGCTGCCAGCTCTCAGGAAGCTGAGCCACACCCTCTCCTGGAGTAAGAGGATGCCCAGGTAGAAAACCAAGGTTACCAGGGATGCCCATCGTCCTAACTACCTCACTAGACTGGGATCTAAGTCCTTAATAAGGTGCTCCTGAGAGTTCCTAGAATCCCTGAGGAGGCACCTGGGCTCTGACAAGGTCTCACCCAGAGAAGCACACGGGCATCGTTCTCCAGCATCACATCCCTGTACAGGGTCCTCTGCACAGGCTGCCCACTGACTCTGTTAAGTACACAGCCACAACCTCAGAGGTCACCAGCTCCTGAAACAGCGAACTCCCGGTGAAGCTCGAGTGATGGCAAGAGGGGTCCTGAGGTCTCACGGAAGAGCAACCAGCACCACAGCCAGGGGCCAATGCACCAATGTTCCCACTTTCTTTCTTTCTCAAGATTTATTTATATATTATGAATACAGTGTTCTGTGCCTGCATGTAAACCTACAGGCCAGAAGAGGGCACCAGATCTCATACAGATGGCTGTGGGCCACTACGTGGTTGCTGGGAATTGAGCTTAAGACCTCTGGAGGAGCAGCCAGTGCTCAGGACCCTAGGAAGAACAGACAGGACTCTGAGCCATCTCTCCAGCCTGAAGTTCATCCCTTAGGTCCTATAAATTTCCAACCAGGGGTTTGGGGCCAGGTGTATAGTATCAGGCATGTGTTTCCTCCTGTGTGGCAACCCTTAAAGACAATCAGAAAGCAGCTGGCTACCCTTGTAGCACCATGCTCCTGTTGCCTCCATGGGCCATCTTGCCATGCTGGTCATTGCTGTAGCTCTGTCCACAGCCGGGTAAGACTGTTGATGACGACACCCCACCTGGTCATTGCTGTAGCTCAGTGTTCACAGCCAGGTAAGGTTGTTGATGACGACACCACCCCACGCCAAGTATCCTGCATATACCTTCTGGCCCCATGAAAACCAGCAGGAAGGAATCGTCCTGGTCAGCACCACCTTGATCTGTTTGTGTCCTGGACCAAAGGTGCTGCCTGTTCTTCTATGCTTTTATTACAGTTGGCTAACGCTCACCCCGACTCCACCCATCTACAGTGGGGGCAGTCAGCCTCATTAGCTCCTCCCCTAGTTCCTCAGACTCCCCAGCACCGACCATGGTGGAGGACCTCAAGAAAATTAGTGCTAGGAACCCTTCCGTTTCACTGAAGCCTGAGATACTCGGGCTCCACACTTCCCACCGTGACGTCCCCACCCAAGAGCCTTTCTGTCTCCTTGCTTCCCACGCAGGGGCTACCGGGTCTCCACTCGGCAGGGTTTGCAGTGCGGGGCGACCCGGGAAGGAAGGAAAGCGGCAATGATGCCCCGGGACTGCCGCTGGCGGGAGCGCCCCCGTGGCGAGGGGAACTCACAGAGGTCCGCTCGTGGCAGGCTGGGAACGGAGGAGACCAGGCCGTGAGTGGGCACCGATAGCTGTAGAGCCCGCCACACCGCCAACCCGGAAGCGTGAGCGCACGCAGGCCGCTCTAGGCCGTCCGGAGGTTTCGTCTCGGTGGTACCGGGTCTCGAACCCCACCCCACGTTCTGGTGTAGCCGGGGATGTTGGGCCTCGGAGCGCGTGCGCGCCCGAAAGTAGGCGGGGCAAACGGGCTCCGACGCGTGTGCACTAGGAAGGTCTCTGGGGTAGGCGTTGCGACATCTGGGCGCATGCGCACTGGGACAAGTGGCACGCAGCATAGGAAGCCCGGCACATAATTACACAAATTCGCTTGGACTATTTCTCTGGCACCAATTTTAAATAGCAACATTAATTGAAGGAAAAAAAAAGGCCACACCTCTACAAATATTGGACCATTGGTGCAGTTTCTTCTGCTGATGCGGTTGGAAAGGGTCCCAGCACCTAAGTCCAGACGGCTCAATTCAGCTCCAGCCAATCTGAAACCTTGTGTACTGCCTGGCACTGCACTCACACACACACACATTCCCACACAAACATATAATTTTTTAAAAAGTATTTTAATGATGAGGTTGGAGAATGGCTCAGCAGTTAATAGCACTTGCCGCTCTTGCAAAGGCCTGGTGTTCAATTCCAGCATACACAATGGTGCCTAACAATCACCCATAAATCCTGTTCCAGGGAACCCAAATGCCCTTTTCTGGCTTCCGCAGGCACCAGGCATGCATGAGGTGTATGCACACACATAGGCAAGACTATATGCATAAGAAATAAACTTTTCTTTAAAATGATAAAGCAGTAGGACTTATAAGGCAGAAAATTAAGAGTTTATTTTTCAGTGGGCATGGTGGCACACACCTTAACACCAGCACTTCAGAGGCTCGGCTGGATTACACGAAAGTCTTCTCAAGCAAACTTTTATGTTCAAGGAGAAGCAGGTGTGGTGGTCAAGAGCCTATGCTGAAGGACAAGCAGGGTGTCTGCTGGAACTCAAGCTGGAAGCCAGGAAATTTTGGAGAGTCCAATTTTCTGAAAGTTAGCAAGTTCACTGCAGTCCCAATAGTAATCAATCCAATCTTCATGCCCCCAACTAATCACCACACTTGTGATAACCCTGTTTCTGAAACTGCTGGTTCCCAGGCACTAACCACCTGCCTTGACCTCACTCAAGATCCAAGCCAGCCTGAGTATACCTAGGTGCATTATCAACCTGCTGCTTCATAACAAACTCTTGGTGGTTGAAAGCAACACACACACCAGCATGTAAACCAGGAACCCAGGGAAGGCTGGAATACTCTTCTCTGCCTGTAATGCTCCAGGGAGGGGGCTATTTAATCAGTCAGATTTTTTCTACTCAATTCTGTGGGGTGACCTCAGTCAAATGATATGATGGCTGAGACTGGAAATCATTGTACTAACTTCAATTAATTCCACTTCTATCCATGTTTTTTTAAATATTTATTTGTTTATTATGTATACAGTATTCTGTCTGCAGGCCAGAAGAGGACACCAGGCTTCATTACAGATGGTTGTGAGCCACCATGTGGTTGATGGGAATTGAACTCAGGACCTTTGGAAGAGCAGGTAATGCTCTTAACCGCTGAGCCATCTCTCCAGCCCCCCATCCATGTTTTAATGCCTTTCTCACCACAATCTCTTTAACCTGGAACACATACACAACCAAGTATGATCCAATGAATGGAGCTGTCTTTTCTCTAAGCCATCAACCGTCCTGAACAGCTAGCCCAGTGTGTATTCCACAGTGCCTGGCCGTATGAGTACCTTCAGTCTCTTTCCCATCTAGCTGCAAGACAATCAGCGCTGGCTACACTGAAGCGCCAGCTTCTATGACATGGCCTATCTCAGTTCCACTTGTCTCCTCCCATTCCTTAGCAGGGTCCTGTGCCAGCATCGCTTCCTTTTGGGATGCTAAGTCTCACTGTGTACCCATCCCTGGCTGGCCTCTCAGAGGTCTTCCTGCCTCTGCCTAATTTATGCCTTTTCTCCCCTTTGGCTTTTTAAGTTTCTGCTGGTAGAGATGCACACCTTTATTCCCAGTAATACAGAGGAAGGTGGATCTATCGAGTTGAGGCCAACCTGGTCTACAGAACGAGTTCCAGGACAGCCAGGGATACAGAGAAACCCAAACAACAAAATGAAGAGTTTCACTTTGTAACCCCAACTCTCCTGGAACTCACTCTGTATCCTAGGCTGATCTCAAACTCAGCAATCTGCCTACCTCTGCCTCTTGAATGGTGGGACCACCAGACTCATGCCCCTTAAAGGATACTCAAGACTGTTCCAAATCACACCACTTACTAGGAGCAGCCTGAATTCTGCCCTCCATCTGCCCCCTCATGGAAGGAGCCAGAGCCCTCAAAAGATGCTTTCAAAGGCAGAACTGTCCCCTCAGCCCAAGTCATTTCCAACTGAATTCCAGTATTCTACCATGCGTAAGTGGACAAACCAAAAAGTCCCCATTTGCTGGAAAAAAACCTGCAAATGATCTACCCACTTTCCCTAGAAATACGCAAGCTGATTTGACAGACCAAATCCCACCACACCCTAGGAAGGCACTCCTACCACTCAACTACAGCTCAGCCCACTGCGCCTTTACAGAACCTTACTAGACTGACTCCACAAGTGATGGGATGTGAGCTGTTTATGGGAGATACACGTATCTGTACAAGGGTCAGGCTCATCTGTCAAGGCACCTGTGCATACAGGTTCAGTGACAACAGCTGTATGCTCTCACCGCCAGGGTAGAGAGTAAGAACTTATCCCGTCACAATTTCACATCTTTTCTAATACCCACTCGGCGACAAGCTGAGTCCACACGAGATTTGCCAACATGTCAAAAAAAAACCTTTATTCCTTTATACAGCCTCATGCTTTCTTGCCAGCTGCCTTTGAAGCAGGTGCTTTCTGGGCTGGGGCCTTCTGACCCTTCTGACCTTTAGCAGGAGGTGCTGCCTTCTGGCCTGAAGCCTTCTGGCCTGAAGCCTTCTGGCCTGCAGCCTTCTTGGCGGGTCCTGTTGCCTTCTTGGGTGGAACTTTACCCTTAGCAGCAGCCGCTGCTGCAGCCGCAGCTGCAATGGCAGCCTTAGCAACAGGTGCCTTTTTGGGAGAGGCTTTCAGGATAGCTGCTCTCTGAAGTTTCTTGACTTCAGTCTTGATGATTCTGTTCCTCTGAAAACACAAGAGAGCATTCAGAGCAGGCAAGCACACAACTTCCTTCGTTGGCTAAAAATTAAACTGTTTCTTCCATACAACTAAACTTTAATAACGACACTATTTTACAATCCTTATTGTGTGTACATGATGGAAGGACAATTCTGTGAGATCAGTTCTCTCCTTCCTTGAGTGCCAAGACTCAAGGTCGGGTCATTAGGTCAGCACCTAACCCTGAGTACCTTCACACACGAAGCTGTCTCACTGGCCCCAACCTAACAATCAATTGCACAAAGCACCATGAACTGGCCTCTATACCCTTATACCCTGCAATAACACAACACATACACCTGAAAACTCACCATTTTCTTTGCCTTCATGACTTTGAAACGATCAAAATCTGTCATCTTGGCTTTCCTTTCCCTGGCATCGATCTTCTTGGCCCATCTCGTGGCCGCCCATTTCGTATTGATATCCGCCTTCTCCCAAGCTTTCCGTACATACTTCTGTCGGGCACTACGAGGAGCAAGACCATGTTATTAGCTTTGCAGTTACACAGCCAAGAACAGCACCTCTCTCCCATTATACCCAGCTTTGGTTGGCTTCACAACACATAAGCATGGTAAACAATGCCCAAAAATGATTAATTTCAAAGATTTTTGGGGGGGGATCACCTCTGAACACACTTGCTACAGGACTCTACTGCTACACTCACTCCAGTGTAAGGGGACTGTAGCTACCTGTCTCCCAAACCACAGCAGCTGGATCTACTGTGGTGGCACATCACAGAGGATGCTTTAGGACACCAACCATTGCTGACCTGACAACCACACAGCAAGGCAGGACAGTGCTTTAATTTGCATAAAAGCCACTGGGCGGTGGAGGCAGCACCCTTTAATCCCAGCACCCAGGAGAGTCCGGTGGATCTTAGTGAGTTAGAGGCCAGCCTGGTCTACAAAGCAAGTTTGAGAACAGCCCAGGGCTGTTACACAAAGAAACCCTGCCTCGAAAAAAAACAAAAAGCCAACCAGTTCTGTCGCCTCCATGTCTTAAAAGCAAAAAACACTCTTTCGTAGGTTAACTACTTTGTGGCCAGCACAAACAAGTCCATCAAATCATGAGGAAGATTCCTGAACTTTAAAGCAGGACATGGTAGCACACAGAGCTCCATCACCAAGGGAGGCCAAGGCAGGAAGAGTGTGAGTCTGGGCTACATAGCAGAAAACCATGTTAACACCAGATGCACCCAAGTTAAAAAACAAACACAGGGGGCTGGAGAGATGGCTCAGAGGTTAAGAGAGCATTGCCTGCTCTTCCAAAGGTCCTGAGTTCAATTCCCAGCAACCACATGGTGGCTCACAACCATCTGTAATGGGGTCTGGTGCCCTCTTCTGGCCTGCAGGCGCACACACACAGACAGAATATTGTATAAATAAATAAATAAATATTAAAAAAACAAAACAAACACAGGTCAACATGGCTACTGCTCGGTGGTGCTCCCCTGACATGAAGCCACAGGTACGATTCTGTTCTGCCAAAAGCAGTAGTAACACAGCAAAGCGACTCAGGGAGCAAGAGTAGACATTCTCATTGAATTTACTGTATGAAAATGAAATACCAGGGAAAAGGGAAAGAGACAAAATATGGGTAACTTCCATAACAAAAATGAGTGGGCAATTTTAAGGAATTAAGGGTCTGCTTGCTAACTGTAAATTCCATTTTCTGGGTTAGCTCTGAACCTCCTGTACTGTCTGTACATTCTCAAGGGGAAATATAGTGGCACAAAACTGGAAGGCAACTTAGAACCGGGCTTTACCTGTGTGGGAACTTAAGGATGAAGTCAGTGAGCTGCATGCATTTGAAAGGCATGGCCTGTCTCCTCACCCGAGTGCAAGGTCCATCCACCAGAGCCTAGAATACAGAACCAGGATCTCAGACAGCTACCTAAGTCAAAATGGCTGGATATTCTAACTCTTCTTGTCCGGTGCAGGA